AAAACTTGATCAAAAGGATCAAACAATTTTGTTTCAAACAAATATTGAAAAATCTAATATGATAGTTCCAAAAACCATAAAATGGTCAGATATAATTCTACCTCAATCATGGGCATTACAAAATGTCAATCAACCACGAGAAATTCCTCAACATCATATTCCCAATCATATAATAGAACATACTGATGGAAATGTCGAAATACAAGTTCAAAATACAAATTTACAAGTCCAAGATGATATTGGCATCAATAGGAAGAGAAATAATAAACAAAACATACCAAGTAGGAAATCAATTTCATATATATATATATATATATATATATCCTAATTTACTTACTAAAACAAAGTATGAGTAGCCTAATATAACCCTTAAAAAAAGATCCAACATATTTTTAACTTTACGCAAATATTCCATTTGTTGCTTATTTATTTTTCTCCAAAATACCATTTGGTTCAAAACCTAGATTTCCAAATCAAGGTACTTATTCTTCTTGGCTTAGTTTTTGGTATGGAACTTCAAGTTTCAAATAAAACTTAGCCAGTTCAGAACTTGAAGTTCTAAATCGAATTACTTGTATTTCTTATGATGATAGGTAGGATTTGAACCGATCAAAATACTTGCTTGAAACTTCAAGTATTAAACCATGTAAAATCACAAACTCTAGCCCTTAAAAAGAGGGAGTATAGTGCATAATTTTAAGGGAAAAATACAAAAAAAGGTAGATCTTTCTAGACAACCACCCCAACCAAGTTTTCTTTTGCAATTTTTACCTAAAAATGAATTTTTATAGCAAATACTCCCATAAGTCAAAAAATTATTTTTTTGACAAAGATGCCATTTTTCTTACATTAGAAATTATGTTGGGCGAAACGTGACGTGGACTCACAAACATAGTGCTGGACTGAGAGAAAAAAACACTGGACCTGCATGAAGACAACCTTAGGGTAATATTGCCAGACTGGGACATGGTTATGCCGAACCACGTGAGCATATTTCCGGATCCTGTGATCTGTATGCCGGATTGCCTTTATAAAGTGTCGGACCCCCCTTTTTTTTTCTTCCAGAACCCCATTGTTGGATCGCCTATATAAACTATCGGACCCCTTATTTTTCCCCAAAAAAATCGGTGTTGAACCGCCTTTAAAAAATTAGGTCATAGGTGGGAAAGATGAGAGATAAGAATTTTAACTAAGGGGAGGGCATTTTGGATTTTTTTTTTCTTTTTTTTTAATTTTTTAATTTGTGGGGGGTATTGCATGAAAAATATGTTTAGGGTAAAAGCTGTGAAAGAAAAAAAAAAAATAGTTAGGGGGAGGTTGTCTAGAAAGTCCAAATTTGAGAGATATATGCAATTTTCCCTAATTTTAATCCTTTAAATAAAATATATATTTTTTCCCTAGAAATCATCTAGGATTCTAAAATGGACCTCATAATTTAAAAATAAATAAATAAATTGCATGACGGGACATGGGGAAAATGTGTAAATAGTGTTTGTTTTTTTTTTTGGAGGGTAAAACTTTGGGATTCCTTTTAGAATTTAGGATGATTATTTTCTAAAACAAAAATAGATTTTTAATATAAACAAGTCATTTGCTAGATGGACTAAGACTACATTATTATCCCATGGGAGCACACAATACTCCTTTCTGAATTATAAAAAATGCAATACCAAAAAGTATCATGATTTGGCGTTCTAAACCGAGAGCCTTTTGAGTAATAAAAGGATACATGAACCTAAAAATCAGAAAATGCATGACTTTTTAATATATCAATTCATTTTTATATTATTTATGCTTATTTTTCTAAATTTGACCGAGATGATGAGCCAACTTGGGCCAACCTATGACCAAGACCAGTGGTGGTATCTAGGTCGGGTTGACCTAACATGGGTCCAAGACCAGACCCAAATATTAAACCCGGTGGATTAGGTTTGGGTCTAGTGTCCCAAACCCAACTTGAGTTGGGTTTAGGTCTACCATGGATCTTATTGGGTTGGGCATGGTATGGATCAAGGTCAACCAGACATGATATTTTTATATAAAAGTTTTTGTAATGTGTCAACATGATATTTTTATGTAAAAGTTTTTGTAATGTGTCAACCTTATACTATCGAAATAAAAATATATATAAAAAAAGGTTGTTCCAATGCTAAAAAAACCCCAAATTGATTTTTTTTTTGGGTTGAATCGTTTTTTAAATTTCTAATTATTTATAGATATGTTCAATCTACATTATTTTGGAACTATAAGATTCATAATCAAGGGTGACAATAGATTTTTATACTCTCGTGAGGGGTTTTAAGACTGAAATTGCATGTTTTGGTATAGTTTTGATATGCGCCTTATTTCAATAGTATAAGATTGATGCCTTATGCAAACTTAACCTTTATTTATAGGGTGCAGTTTGCATATGGATGCATCCGTAGGTGTAGAGGTAAGGTGCACCTTTAAATTTTTTCATGGTATATAATTTTGATGTGAAATGTTCCTAGGATTATCTCAAAATCTATCTTTATATCTAATTATAAAATTTTAAATTTAAAAAATGTTTAAAATCAAGTAGATCTATAAACATATGAAAATTTTGAAAATGGACGGTGTAGATAATATGCTGTAAAATGCACTATTTATGAGGTTTAAAATCTTTTTATTTTTCATAGTCATATATCTCGATGTCGAGATGATCAATCAAAGGGTTTTCAACTTTAAAACTACCTTTTCCGATGGATTTTTGAGGGGCATCTGTAGTTCTACATTATAAGGTAGCATCCTTTATACAAACTTTTTCCTTATTTATACATTATAGACGAAAATGTTTTGATAGGCTGGAACACTATCAAAATCACTAAAGCCTCTGCTCAAAAGTCATTAAAAATTGCACTTTTGGCGTCAAAAACCTTCAAATCTATAAGCTCGTCATTGACCATTACAATTGTAGAATATAAAATAAAATAAAAAGATTTCAAGCTTTAAAAATAATGTATATTATAACACATTATCCACTCTATACATTTCGCCCTAAAAATAAGTATTCACGGATCTGAAATATCTATGCCATTAATTTAGCGTCTAATTTCATAGTCACGATGAAAATTGATTTTAGAGCCAACATAAAATTTTTTCCCATGCCCAAAATGCTTTCCAAACAAAGATGCGAGGTGAAGCTTTACTTTGTTTTCAACGACATCCTATTACAAAGGGGCGCAGTTTGCATATAGTTGCAACCCTAAGGCACACATCCTATTGTTATAATACGATGTAATTTTAAGATTAAAATTCTTAAGATGACTTGGCAATTTATTTTTATATCTAATTATATAACTTTAAACTTTAAAAATGGTTCTATAAATACATGAAAATCTTGAAAATAGATAGTATACATAATATATTAGAAGATGTACTTTTTTGGGACTTAATTTTTTTTTTCTTCTTCATTTTTATATATCTCAATGTCAAGATTATCGTTAGAGGGTTTTCCAACATTAGAACCGCCTTTTTTGATGGATTCTTGAAGTGCATTTTAATTGTATAGTTTAAAGTTGCAATACAACCTTATATAAATTTATTCTATTATTAAAAAATAAGTTTATATATACCGAGACTATTTATTTTTGGTACAAAGAAGTCACAAATACTTATAACAATTTGACGTAGATCGAGTGTATCACAAAGTCAGAGAAAATTCATTTTAAACTTTGAGCTTGGTTAATACAATAAAGGACACGGTCTTTATGTGGCCAGCCCGCATATTGTAAAAATGTGGGCTTAGCAATTAATATATTTTTAAAATATAATTTTATCCTATTTTTTAGAGAATATATAATCTTTAACATGAAAATCATGAATATGATTTTTTAAAAAACTAGAAATAATAATTATATTAAAAAACATTTGGACCGTTAGTTACACTTATTTTTAGATGGACCACCCGTTCGCATCCATCTTAAAGATATATGTTTTATACTTCGTGACTGCATATTGTAGAAGTGCGATCCAACCTGCATGAAACAATTTGTCAACAATAAATGTAGTTACCCAATTTCACATCTAATAATAGAATTAATTATAGAGAAATGACCCTATAGGACATTCTCTCGATCTATATGTGTAGGACTCCAAAAGATCGCCATTAAATTTGACACGGATCTATAAAAAAATCAAATCCTATACCTATGTGATAATTTTTTTAGAAATCCGTGTTAACTTTAATGGTGATTCTTTAATGTCATCCGCACATGGATGGGAGAGGGTCTTATAGTATCATTACTCTCAATTATAACCCAATTTCACATCTAATAGGATTAATTATAACCACTTTATACTAAAGGGAAATGATCTTGTTTTACTTTTCTTTAAGAAATTTATAATAACTTTCCCTTCTTCATAGACTAAACCCACCGGGTCAGGTCTAAATAAAGACCTGGTCTAGGTCAGGAATGGTTCGAGCGGATCCAATCGGACCCTGGCCCAAACGGGGCCTTTGGACACTGTAGCACAAGAACAGGAAGTAGACGAGAGGCTATGCCCGTGAAGATTAAACCGACCAATGCCAGTCAACTATTGACGCTTGTTTACTGCAACTCACGGATCTTACCAGTGCGTCACCACACACTTGTTTCTTTTATAAAAATAAAACTCTACTTTTTACCTCGTCCGCGTGCGTTTTTTGTACGCCATTTTCTCTCCAGTCTCAACATGAAATCTCGCAAAACCCCAATAAAGTCAGAGAAACAAATGCCGATACATCATTCAATTTCGAGCTCTAATATTAGCAGAAGGAAGAAGACATGGAAAATATCGGAAAAGCTCCGAGGTTTCTTCTTCTGAAATCCTAGATTCCTTACTAGAAGAAGCAAATGCAGTGGAATCTCCTAGGAATCGTGCTCCGGTCTCACGCGAAGTCGTACATTTGAAACCATTCAAAAGTTCGAGATTCTGCTTTTAAAACGTCAAAAATAACTTTCCAGGAGAAGCAAGGCACCGTGATTCAAGCTTTATCTGATGTGAACATCGTAGTTTTGATCTTAAAGAAGAAAACTCTTTCAGAAAATCAAAGACTCTCGTTCTTAAACCTAGATTTATTACTAGAAGAAACAGAAAAAGAGAAATCTCAACCTACTTGAAAAAGCATCACAATATCTCTTTATCTATGATATTGAAGCCATGACCTTCTTACCTGTTGGAACAAGACGGTGAAAGTTCACAAAATTCAACTTTTGATCTCCATACAAGAAGGATATCGTGCGAGATCAATCGAAACCCTAAATTTATCTATCTGAAACTCATCCTTCTCAACAGGAGAACGGAAATTGGAGAGATATATGTGAAAATTTGCTTTTGAATTCGAGTTTTGCCGTCACCAGAAGAACATGCTTTCTTCTGGTGATCTGCAACTATGGAGGGAGCCCGTCGCAATTGCGTGCTTATCATTCTTTCTCTGGTTTTCTTCTCTGTTTTAGCATTCATATCTGGACTATCAGTGTTTCTGATGATCAATTACTCCATTACTGGACCATCGCCTGTTTCTGCAGAATGCAAGGTCCTGTCCAGCAGTAAGTTGGCCTTTTCAGCACTTGCTTGATCAGCTTTTATGTCTAGTTGTCAAATTTTCTTGTGTTCATTCTTACCGAGTTTCACTACATTTTTTTTTTCTCTGGATATTTTGGCTTAATCTGATCTATATTCACCAATCTGGACTAGACTATTAGAAAACTTGTTATGTTATTTCAGTTGAAATTTAGGGCCTGAACAAGTAAGACTTCTTATAATTAGACTGTAATTACATACCTGCAAATTCTCACATTTTTCTATTTTATAGATTTTTTGTGAGAAATGGCCAATCATTTCTATAAGGAATTTCAAAGAAACACAGTCCGTCTTATAAATATTTTGAGCTCTCCAATATGTGCTTCAGAACTACTATCATTGTTAGTGCTTTTATTTTTTGCCATTTATGATATGGCTTGTGGTCAGAGTTCAAGCATTGGTGGAATCTGGTTAGGGTGTTTGTCTATGTATGTGCCTGGTTTGTGACTAGTTCAATAATGAAGCAGTAAGAAATTGGGGGAACTACCAATTTTAGTACCTAATAGGTTGGGTAAGGTTCAGTAATATATGGACCAGTGGTGGGGTTTGGAAATTGTTGGGAGCTGAGTTGGTCCGGTATTCTGCCCAAACTCTAAAACCAAAAGTAAGAATTTTTTAACGGTAACGTGTATAATTAAGACAATTTACTATTGGTATAAGGAGGTCACAATCAATCTTGGTCGTTAGATGTGAAATCGGATTGCTGGTGGTGTCCCATTGACCTAGCTCAAAGTTTAAAAGAAAAAATTTCAAACTTTATGAGACACCCACCTTGACAGATTTCACATCTAACGGCTATAAATGATAAATGATTGTAACCTTCTTAGAATAAATGTAAAGGGTTCTATGTTATACTCTTTTTTGTTATGAAACTTGAAATCGGTGGCCGACTTAGCAACTGTTGAAACCAAGTCAACTCACTGAGTTGAATAATTAACTCAACAAAACTTCGGGAGTTTCTGAAAATGTTTGAGGTGGGAGTCAAACCCAGCTTGTCACTGGAGTCATACACAATACTACCACAATGAGGACTATATATTTGTGAAAATAACATAATAAAATTATATATAAAGAAAATAACAATTTCCAGAAACTGAAAGTCATTATGTGATCGCCGCATGCCAATGAAGCTGAAAGGCAAGTTCTAGAGGACAACTGTGAGACCAACTTTGATTTATAGGGCGGAATATTGGGAGGACCGAAAACAATCTACCCATTGAATGAGTGTAGCGGAGATGAGGATGTTAAAATGAATGAGTGGCTAGACAAGAAGGGGTAGAATTCGAAATGAATCCATTCAGGAGAATTTAGGTGTGGCACCCATAGACGATAAGATGAGAGAGAGTAGACTTAGGTGGGCTGGCCATATGTGGCGCCAACCAAGTACATCACTTGTTAGGAGGTGCGAGCTAGTTCAAGTGGAAGGATTGAAAAAGGCAAGGGGTAAGCCCAAAAGGACATAATTGACTCTGTTGAAGATAAGAAGAGACCAAATCAAAGTTATTGGTCATTAAGTTAGTTTGGTGATAAGACCTCCTATTATTTACCTCTATCTTCAAGAATCATACCATATTTGTTTCTTGTAATTGTGTGATTGTTCTCTATATATAGAGGTACTTATTGATGTAAACATCATCCAAAAATCAGAGAAGATGTAGCTCGTTGGGGCTTTGGATCTGTGGATGTAAGGCTTCGGCCTGAACTACGTAAATGTTGTGTTCTCTCTTCTTCTCTCCCCACGTAAATGTTGTGTTCTCTCTTCTTCTCTCCCCACGTAAATGTTGTGTTCTCTCTTCTTCTCTCCACATTCAATGTCTGTGCATGTATGCTCTCACGAATCTTAACAGGAAGTAGTCCGAAAGGATATGGAAACTTATAGCCTCACTGAGGGAATGACCTGTAATAGAGCTGAATGGCAGACCAGGATTTGTGTAGCCGACCCCAATTAATTAGGAAAATGTTATGATGATGATGATATAAAGAAAATAATAGACACAGATGCCATTTTTTTCAATTATAAAACTTACTTTGAAGACGAGCCAAAATGGGCTTTTATTCTCTAATGTGAGATAATTTCTGTATGAACCATGAATGATTATTTATCTTAGTGGCAATGCAAGATAAATGTGATTGTGGTACCTGTTTTGGAATGGATGATGATAAGTGGCACTAGCAAAAACTATACTTGGTACGTTGTTCTTAAGGATGGTGGAGAATATTTCTAGGGTTAAAAAGAGTTGCATGGTTATAGTGCTAGAGGGAGAGGAGAAATGGAATGGAAAGTCCATTTGTTTAAAGCTGTAATGGTTGGTTGAATACTTTTGTGGTTAGTCTTATCTGTTAGTCGACTGGAGGCAGGAATCCTTGAAGAAAATAATGATGTAAATTGATTTGGTAGTTTTATTCTCTTCACGTGTTATTTCTTAAAGTCCTATGTCAATGATTTGATTCCTAATGCGACTAGTATGAACTGCATAAGCTCCAGCATAAAGAAAAATATCGATTGAAGGACAAGACAGAGATAAGTTAATCTTGAGCATTTCTTGAGGAAACTTTGGATGATGATAAATAAAGAAGAGAAAAGGAATCATATGGAGCATCAAATAAATTATTGAATTCATCATCATCCAAGCCTTATCCCAATTATTTGGGGTCAACTACATAGGTTTAGGATTCGTGATAAGATGTGGTAAAGTTTTACATTGGCTGCCTACCTAATACAATCCACCTCTTTTACCCGGGCTTGGGAAGGGCTAAGGGAAAGTTTAGGGTCCTCACCCTTATTGGACCAAAACCAATTATTGAATCAATCCTCCCAAATGTGACAATGTGAGCTTGCCATTTTGGTTTTCTCTAGGAAAATTGCCTTGATGATGCTTAATGGGAATATTTTCCAGGAATTATGGACTTCCTGGACATAAGAGAGTAAATGATTTTGAATATCCAAAGGATGAATTTTACAAAATTAACCACATGGATCCTGTTTTTTGAAGCAGGACAAGCTGCCAACTTTAGTAGTTTTTTGTTAATTGGCTTGCATATATTAAAGTGAAGATCCCTATCTTTCAGGAAAGAAAAGAGGAAACTGAAAATTTTTACAGAATCAATGTAGCTATTAGTCTTAATGTTCATTTAACTACCTATTTACTATTGTTACGTTTATTCAAAGAGAGGGGGAAGGGAAGTTATAGCTAAATGATGAATATAGTGAATTTTAGATTTTTCCTTCACAATGTCATGTTTATGATGGGACGCAAATTGCAGCAAAGCAAGGAGGAAAACCACAAATTATTAATGACGAAATGTGATGAAATATTAACGTATTCATTTCTAGTTAAGAGAATAATTGAGCTTATGAAAGTACAATGCTATAACATGTAATAGGAGAAAAGCTGTGATTCTCAAATCTCTGAGATGAGATTATACTTAATACAGCATTTGATCAACATGGGCCTTAATTTAATCCTAGAGAATGATTGGAAAGAATTTAGGCAGCTGGTATGATTATATTACAAAACAAAATGATTCATGTGTTTTCAATTTACATGGGTGCTGCTGCTCGTTTGAATTTCACCTCATTCTGAGGCAAACTTGCTACATTGACTGCCTGATAATTGTGTTATTTGATGATGTATCTATTGTCCCATTTCTGGCCAAGTATGTTGCAAATCCTTAATATGGTTTGTGTCGACACATATCAGGTTTAATAAACCCGAATGGTCCAGTTTTAAGAAACTGAAGTTTGCCTTGTGTCATTTTATTTGGGTTCTAGTTTTTCTCCTTGCTATTTCGCCACACACACACACACACACACATGTTCTTCTTCATGTATTAAGTTCCCAGTTTTGTTGTGGTGTCTGTCTGGTACTTCTTTTATGGTCTTTTACTTATTGGCGTGTTTGGTTTTGTCCTTGGGCAACTCAGCTGATTAAAGGCCTGAGTAAGTTTTTTTTTTCCTTTTTTTGGCATCTTCGTTCTCTTTGTAGCTATTTTGTGATTAGTGTTCTATCACCCATTGATAATTTAGTCTTTGCATAATTCTTGATTAATTTTGTCATGAAAAACATCCCTTACATATAAAATGAAAACGCGTCATATGTGTTATGTTAATTTTTATCTATCTTATTGTCCCTGTGTCTGTCATATGGCACACTAACCACTTACCGATTATTCTCATTATCTGCCTAGAAGTAATCATAAAAGAATAATGAAGCATATGTTGGTTTGAAAGGTTAAAGAACTACAAGAATTTTTGTTGGATGATATGTTTGGTTGATATGCTCTCTCCCTCTCTCTCTCTCTCTCTCTCTCTCCTCCGTCCTCCGTCCTCCGTCCT